CTTGGTCGGGTATTCTGTGTTGTTGTTGGTGGAGCTCTCTGCTGTACGTCCACCCGATCCACCATCTTGTTTGTTCTCCTGCAAATCTCAACTTTTAAACCTCTGGAAATCCTGGCCTGGTTGAGTTGACACAGAAGCCTAACCATTACAGTTGGTATTGTTCCTATTAAGTTCCATTAAGTCGGTTCTGAAACATAGTGACCCCTGTGAAGGGTTTCTGAAGAGCGACTTGTGGATTTGAATCACTAACCTTGTGGTTAACAGCCCAGTGCTTATCCTACAGTGCCACACCAGTACCTTTTAAAGATAAATCCCCAGATTACTAATATCTGATTTAAAAGACAACTCCTGTTTGTCTGTTAATATTATGCAAATTTGAGCTCACTTTGAAACAATTGAAATAAAATCTTACAACAAATTCTGCATAACAATCACCTTCATAACACAAATAATATTATCTTGCTGCTTTTGCAGCTTTAGAATCACTGGAAAGACTTTGAGCCTTTTCTTCTACCAAAGTAAAGCCAGATAAGAACCATATGCACCAATTTGATTTATCTCCAGATTCCACTTTAATACTGAACAACACAGTCAGGAATGAACCTTGTTCATAACCAGGGACTGCCTGTACATATTTTTAAAATTCCCTCTGCCTGATAAGAAAAACAAATAGTCAGAGTAAGAGAGAAAAGTATCTTCCCTTATATGATGTCATTGTTGTTAAGTGCTGTTGAGTCAATTCCAACTCATAGCGATCCTGTATAGGGTTTTTGAAGAGTGACTGATAAGCTTGAATCAGTGGTCTTAGAGTTCAAACAGACCTTGCAGTCCAGTGTATTAATCCACAGCGCTACACCAGGACTTCAATGAAGGAGGCTAGTGGCAGTGTGTATGCGCACAAAACCCATATCACATGGTATTACCAGACATACTCCCATCTAAGTACTAACTAGGCTCAACCCTGGTTAGCTTCTGAGATTAGACAGGATCAGGCAAATGCAGGGTGGTATGGTTTTATATGATAATAGTTTTTAAAGTCATGATAAGCTCTTCCCAAAAAAAATATCCATGGCCATTGAGTCAATTCTGACTCATAGTGACCCTGTTTAGGGTTTCCTTGGTTGTAAGAATTTACGGAAGCAGAAAGCCTTATCTTTCTCTTGCGGAGCAACTGGTAGATTTGAACTGCTGACCTTCTGGTAAGCACTCAGCTCATAATTCCACTGTGCCACAGAGCTCCTTATAGTGACACTATATAGGGTTGCTAAGACTGTAAATATTTATGGGAACAGTCAGCCTCATCTTTTTCCTGCAGAGTGGCTGGTGTTTTTGAACTTTCAACCTTGTGGTTACCAGTCCAGTGCCTAACCGACAGTGCTAGGACTCCATAGAATGGCCATTACCAAAGAACATGGTGCTCTCCTAGGATGTAATCAATAGTAGTCAAAAACAAAAATACAATAACCTTGAAATTGGTGCTTTTGTTTCTTTTGGAAAAGGGAAAGATGAGCAGAGTTTACCAAGAGATCTAAGGATAGGTATTCGACTTTAAAGCCAAATAACATTAATGATCCTGGTCAATGGGAAAACAGATGTTTGTGTGTTTTAAGTGATTGAGCAATAATAATAATAAAAAAAAAAAAATAGAACATCACTTGAAAGACCTTTTTGAGCCTGAAGTGACTTTTCGCTATACTTGTTGAAAGTAACTAGATAAAACCCTTAGAATAAGATAGGAATCAAATAAGAACTGATTCCATTTAGTTGCAGGTTATTTTTTTCTCTTTGTTAATTGGATTGTCACACAGAAAAAATGTTAAAAAAAAATGTGGGTGTCATTCAGTATACCATTAACTTAGTGTGTGAAGAATTTAAGTTTGGAAAGTAATCTCCTTAAAAAAAAAAAAAAGTCGTACTCTTCTTTGGACAGAACAGAGGGGCATCCATTACTCATTGTGAAAAAAGAATGAAAAGGAACAATTGCTCTAAATTATCACCATAAAATGAAAATGGGGAAAGTGATAAATGCCACTTGACAAATACTGTTACAAAAAGCATCTGTGGTAGGTGTAAGTGTCTTGATGCTAAGTAACTGAAATTGAGTAGGAAATAATTGGAAAAAATATAGTTGTATGTCTCAACTTTTTATAGCTCCAATTCATACTGATGTGATTTGGAAACTATCAGCTGAAAATATGCGCCGCTCAGATGTTCCACGGTCTCCTGAAAGTCTTAATAGTAGACATGAATAAACAATGAAACAGAGTGAATTTCAATGGCTTGGACTATCTTCTAAAATATTTAGAAGTTGAAAATTTAGATGGTAAAGGATGAAGATTAAAATAGATTTCATTTTAGGAAAGTCTTGGGTGTGAAGGAAATAACTAAAGCTGAGTGAGAAGATATATGCTTAAAAAAAATGTGTCATTTGTAATTTGAATAACAACTAGGCATTACGTCCTAATGTTTCCAATCTCATAAAAACAGTAAGGTGATTGAGATATTCAGAGAGTCATATTCATACCCCTCTCCACATTTTTAGTCTGTTGATAATGTGAAAATATGAATACATTCCACAGGTAAATATTGTGAATAATTTGGTCTATTGTTTACCAGAAAAATGTCAAATTATCTTGAATGATAAGATGTAAACAAAAGAAAGTAAGACTATTATAGAGCATAAAAGCATGACCATAAATCATAAATACTGATACTGAGTGTGATGTAGACTTTTATTGAGTTTCTTACCTTACAGTGTGTAATAACATAATTTTGAGCACACTTTTCATCTTGAAATATGATCATTACATAGACTCATGAAATGATATATTCTAGAAGACATAAAAAGACCTTTGATAGAAAACTGGAAGAGTCCAATTATAGATATATAATCTCCAGAATATTAACTCTAATGCTTAGAATTTAGAATGGATTCTCACATAGTGAAAAAAATATACATGTATACACACACACACATTTAGAGGTTACAAAAAGTTCATGGGAAAATTCCATTATATTTTAATTCCATTATTTCCACAAACTTTTTGAAGCCCTCTCTAACAGGGTAAGTTACAAAGTATTGCTACAAAATTGCAGAAACTTTTATTCAACAAAAATATCTAAACATGAAGCCACTGTGTCTCTACATACCCTCCACCTAGGACTATACACTTGTGAAGGCTGTGTTTCCACTTAACTTTTCTGTGATGAATTTTGGAGTCGTCAATTTTTGCCATGGAAGTTTGGACATCCTTGAGGGACTGCAATCATGTTCCTTTTAAATATTCTCTGAGTTTGGAGAACAAAAATAATTTTAAAGGGGCAAGATTAAGGCAGTAGGGGTACATAAAGGAAGGCTTCCCAATGAAATTCTCACACTACATCCCTTGCTACACTCAGAGAACGAGCTGGTGCATTGTCATGGGGGGAAACTCCTCAGCAAAATGTTCCTAGCTTTTTTCTCACCAGTGCAGTTTTCAATTTTCTTCAAACTTCTCCCTAATAAGCCACTGTGATGTCTTATGTTCTTTGAGAAAAATCTATCAAGATACTGCTTTGGGATCCTAAAAAGTATTTGCATTTGCCGTGACCTTATTACTTGATCTCTCTGCCCTACATTTAACTGGCCCAGAAGATCCCCTTAGAAACCACTATTTTTACAGGACTTTTTTATTAAGTCATTCTAATGAGACTAAGGTAAGTGTTAATGGAGATAATTGTCTGCAGCCATCCAATGATTACAGAGACATATTTAAACACATTTTGTTTGGAATATACCCATGCATGTATTAACTGGAACTCTAGCAACAATAGTTTTTGACTTA